CTCCAGCTCCCAGCTCTCTGGGGCCTCTGTTCCGGCGCTCTCCTCTGCGCCTGGGTTTCATGACAAGACTCCTGGTTTCGGGGGAGCCCTGACAGTCCAGTGTCAAGGCCATGGCCCAGGAGAGCATCCTCCTGAGCTGCGTCAGCCATGTGGACAGACCCCGCGGCCAGTGCTGAGGAAGCACGACTGATGGCCCTCCAGCCCCTGCCCCTGACTCCCCGGCCGGTTGTCTCAGCAACACCAGGAGCTGAGTGCGAGTCCCGGCTGCCTGGCTGAGGCCCTGACCTTCACAGGGGCATCGGAGGAAGGTGCCCGGCGCGGATGGGTGCGAGGGGCTCTGGGTGAAAAGGGGTCACTCAGGCCCTCAGTGGAGAGTTCTGTGTCCCCTCCAAAGGACCTTCCCATTGCCTCACTTTATAATAACTGTTTCATTAACAGACAACGCAAAACCAAACATTAAATCACGTTAAAGAGGCCTCCTCCCTCCTGTGTGGAGCCAGCGGGTGAAAAAGCTGCTTCCCCCCGAGCATTTCCCATCTGAACCGGACGTATTTATTCACTGTTCCCGGTACCTCGCTCTCCCCTCTGCCCACACGCGTCTGAGTCAGTTCCGTGTATGAATCGCTGGCAGGTTTAGGAGGCACGTGGCCAGTGGAATATCAGCGGAGAAGCTCCTGCATGTGGTGGGCCCTGACTGGTGCCTCCTCTCCCTGGCCAGCAGGGCGGGTGCACCGCAGGCTCAGAACTGCCGCTCTGCAAGCAGGGACATCAGGCTGAAGCCGTTGAATCTCCATGGGAACAGCAGCGTGTGTACTATTCTGTCAGGGGCGGCATGGAGCTGTTGGTGTGGCCCACCGCCAGCGTGGCAGCTGGATTCTGACGACGACTCATTCTGTGAAGACCACCAGTTCGCCACAGGTTCTGTCACCAGAAGACCAGGCTTTCTGTTGGGACTTAAAGGAGAATTTATCCAGATGTGGAGCCGCAGGGGCCTCAAGGGACCAACTCTGACCTGAAGGGATAGAACCAAGTTGCACATGTTCAAAACTTTGGTATAATTTTCTTTTCTCTGGTTTTACGCAAAAGTTTGTTCCTATTTTTTGTGTGACTTTACCTTTTGTCTGCTTCCCACTTATATCCGGTTTGCTTTAAAATCCAAGTCAGACACTTGGGCTCTTGAAAAAGATGGTATTTGGAGCAACGAAGCAAGAAATCCTAGAATCCAGCGTGGGCAGGGAGGAGTCCCTGTGGTTGAGTTGGTTGCTTGTAATTGGCTAAGAAGCATCTACCACATGTCTCCTTCTCTAGGTGGGACTGATCCGAGCCCCCAAACCCACTGGGTCTAGCCTGGCCCGTGTGGCTCGGTGGTTCTTCAGTTCTTGTGCTCTCAAGTTCTCCCAGGCCAACATTCCATTCCTTCTCGTCCAGACTTCAACATCCTCGCACTATCCTCATTCTCAGCTACTGACCTCACTAGTACTTCCTCATTCATTGAGGACAAACATTGGAGAAATAAGATGAATTCCACAATTTCCCAATACGTCTACCGACCGTTGCCTATCTGTCCTGCCTTCCCTTCCTTTGCTGGGACAGTTCATCTGTCTGTGTCCCAGCTACAGTCCATTCTCCAGTTGTGCGTTAGGTCCCACACCCTCTCACTCAAGGTCAGCGCTTTATCGATACCATCCTCCTCTACACGGTCAGTTTTCCTATGTTCATGGATGTCTTCTCTCAGCGTTCAAATTATTTTTCTCAAAGTACAAGAAAAAAAGCGAATTCTTACTTGAGCCCAATACCTCAAGTGTTGAATTTCTTTCTCTTTAGAGTTAAAATCCCCGAAAGGGGTGTGTATATGTGCTACTTCTGGTTCTATATCTCCCAAAGTCCTCGAACCCTCTTCCACCCAGCTTTTGCTTCTAAAACAATCTCTTCTCTACCATAGATCCGAATAGCACCCACATTTCTGTTTTCAACCTGAATTTTTCTACAGTACTTCGGGCTTGTGGATCCATCTGCCTATTCAACATTTCCATTTGAAATATGAGTACTATTTTCAAATTTAGCCAAAATGTATGACATCTCCTTTCTCACATCTGCTGTATGCATGATGACGATGGAAGGAGAAGGAAATGGTGGGCGACTCGTTCATCAGGTGGGAAGACAATGCTTTGCCTTCCTCCATGCCGCGCCCTCACTTTCTCCCCACCAGGGCCTTTCTGGGCTGCGCAGTCTCTGCCTGGGCCTCTGTAACGGCACTTGGCACATCATTATGTTCAGTTATTGGTGTTCTGTCTTTACGTTCATTCTGGAAGAGCAGGGCCAGGCTCATCTTAGAAGTGCACATCCAAGCACGTGCCAGACACATAGTAGCATCTCCAAGTGTGGCCAGTGGGCGCAAGAGTAAACATCGTTAGCATTCACTCACACACACACACAGAGGCAATGTGGCCTCCTGGAAACATGCCACATGCCTTCAACCAGGCAACCACATGACGGTTCTTCTAGCAAGTCCTTGCCATAACATCTTAGACAGCTCGCTAAATCCTTCTGGGACTACCTTCCATTAGCAATAACACACGCCCTACATCAGAGAACTCCATTGAGGTAGCATGGATGCCATTTCTCTGTGAATGATAAAACAGCTTGAAATTTCATGCTTATAA